AAGAAACCTTTATTATAAACTCCATCATTCTTGCGCTTAGCACAGGAAGTCATCTCCAAGCAATATTTTTTTCATGCGATATTCGAGATGTGTTAAGGAGGGACTCCCATTGGGAGGAACAATTCCATCTTCTACATGAAAAATTCGATTTTCATCAAAATCTGACGGGATCCAGTCATTCTCACTTCTCTCCGTGAAGAGAATGATGATCAGCCTGTTCTTAACGAGTTCTTGGTTTTCTGTCAATTCTTCATGTATGACTTTTCCGTCAAATGTGATGTAATCATCATCTTTTTCTTGCTGCTTGTTTTGAATGAGGGATAAAGCTTGGCGTGTCCCGATCAACACAACACATTCACAGGAGCGAAGAACTCTCCTGAAATCTCGTTCTTTCACCAAGATGCTCTTGATATTTCTCATATCTGTAATCTTTCGTAGCTTGCCTTGAAAATAATTCATCAGTCGCCTACCTTTGGTTCTGTCGCCTTCACTATACAAAAACAATGAGCATTTCATTTCCAAATCGATTTAGTGCGTGGGGATACAACTGAGTCAGAAATAAATCTGCTTTCGGGTATTCTGGTTTACTCTTTCAGATAGGAAACGAATACTGTCCTTGCGAGAGGAGAATTCAACAACAGCAAAAGAACACTCTTAGCTATTGCATTTTATACGAAAAGCAAACATGTGAATCGCACGTGAAACAGAAATTGCATTTTATGCGAAAATCATATCCTCATGAAGGTTTTTTCAGGAATTTCTATATGAATTCTACTTTCCTTTTGTGTTTGTTTGGACGTTAAATGTATCAGAGATCGTACTTTAGACGAAAAAGAATAGTTATTCTGCACGCCGGCTTAGGCTTGCGATTAATTGTTGGAGTTTGGCACTTTTCATAAAATACTCATTAGGGACTTCGGTAACCTACAAAACTAACAAATAATTTGGCATTGTTCACAACTAGCGGCTTGAATATATTTCTTTTTTTTTTTGCTTTGTGGTGACTTGCGAATCGCATGCTTATACAAAAAGGGAAAGGTTAGGTGGAAAAAATTCAATTTTTTTCGATATCTTGATTTAAATTAATTCAAAACAATTCCTCGCAACCGAAGTTTCGTGCCGATAACACTTACTGGCGCCTTTCGTTCTGGTTTCCATGGGACTGTTAGTTTATCATTTAGAAAGCCGCTAAATTTCTGAGGATGAGTTGAGCTAATGCCTTAGTTATCAACTTCGTGCTAGCCTGTTTCAGGCATTCAGATTGTAAAACGGAGCCATTCATAGCAAACGGCGCAAAAGTAACGAATGATTAAAAAAAGCGAGGTTTGGGTCGTTCATTACGCGATCGAACCCAAATCTCCTACGATTTCACATTCCCATGCTACTGATGATGGCAAGTTTCTCGGGTCCAAGAATCAATGGTTGTCACTGTCGACACGCCCTCTGATGACTGTGCAAGCCGATCCTTGATCTGCACACTCTGCCACTCCACTGAACATGGAAATCCTTGGGCAGGGGGGCTCAGGACGGCTGATGTCCTTCTTCTCCTACGTTTCTCCAAGGACTGTTTACTATCGTGCTTCCTTTTACTAACTGAACGCCTGGAACAGGCTAACTTCGTCCCCACGGGTTCCTTGGTCAGGTAGTGGTCAGTCAAAGGTTATTGTGATTGCTGAAAGACAGCCGATCGCCTGATTACGGCCTTTTTCAATACCTCGATGATTTATTCCAGATGGTAGTAAATCAGAATTTCAAACTGACCGGATCCTAAGATTTCCATGTTTAGTTTCGCAATAGAGAAACAATACTACATTACCCCTCAGTATTTCATAAAATGGTAGGCCATTCAGTATAGTTCTACCCGAAATTTCAATTCCACTTTACCGCAAATGATCGAGCGGGTAGAAACTAACTGCTGTAATCCACGAATAATCTTTGCAGTTTAGGCTCGTTACTTCATATTTGCTTCCAAAAGCAGCAAACTTTTGACATTTTCAGGTTCGCATAAAACTTACTGCTGCTTAGAATCAACTAAAGGCCACACCTCCCAAGCAGTGCCATCTTCCACCATATTCGTTATAAAAGACGTGAGGTTATGAAAGGTTATTACATAAGAAAAGCACCAATCAGCGGTCGTTTTAATGCTTTGTTTGCTACTTTTTCCCCTCGACCCGCCGCCGTCTTGAAAACTGAATGAGGAAGCCCTGGGAACGAGGTTGGCACTCGCACGGTACTACCTACTTACAGATAAAAAAGTTAGCCAAAGTTGTCCCCAAAATATGGTGCCTATTTAAAACATACAACTTAAATGTGGCTGCTATACGACAATTCAAGAATGAGTAGAGGAGAGCCTAATTTGGACCGTGCTGAAAACGACAGCGAAAGAGGAGATCAGAATGAAATTGATCGCCGTTGTGATCACCAGCAAGACGATTTGATACGAGATCAATTTGACGAGGAGTTCTGGATTAAGGTGAAAGACCTGAAATATGTGTTAAAATGCAAGTTTCTGGATTTATTTTGCAATTCATTGATGCAAAATGTAAGCCATATAAAAACATTTCAATCGACTAAGCTTTTTTCCTCTGTTAAGGTCCATGAGAAGCAAAACAAAGGACTGTCATGGAACAGAGCTATGGACGAAGTTCATGTGGAAAGATTGATTCAGAAATACAAGGATGGTGGGAAATTGGATAGCGAGGATCCAGCTCTTTTAATGTTAAAACAGTGGCCAGGATCTGAAAAGTGCAAAGATGATTCCGACAAACTTCGTGCACTTGAACAACAGGTGGGTACACAAGGCTTTGACATGTAGGAATTAACTTATAAATCTAATACTAATTATGGAAATATTATCTCTGACATTTTTTTTTGTAGATAAATCGGATTTTGGAGATTCTATTAGAAAGTGAAATAAACACAGGGAACAGATACGAGTCGTTCCGAGACGAAGATGACGAAACAAATAAAACACTAATGCACTATGCAGCAGAGCATGGCTTTTTGCATGTCACCAAAACGCTTTTCAGGAAATGTCCAGAGCTACTTGTTGTGAAGACAGAAGAGCAACTCAAACCTGTCGAAAAGAGAGCCATGTTACCTGTGGAATTAGCAATAGTAACAGAGAATGATGATGTGGCTGCATTTTTGGTTAGAGTTATGTGGCATGAGAGGTAGAAACATGCTTGGAATTTGAATAAACAAAAGTTTTTCATATTATGGTCTTGAAGACATAAATGTCTTTTTTGAGTTTCTAAAAGCTCAAGATTTACCCTTTAACCCTTTTAAGTCTCAGGAATAAAGGAAATTATCACCAATTAAGAAGCTGTTGATTGTCATATAAATTCTCCTTGTCAACATCTTATGATATGTATAGAGAACAGTATAAACAGTATAGAGAATATGCATACTGACAGAAGGATGTAAAGGGTTAATTGGAATATTGCATTTTAAACTTACTTTTGAAATAATAATTTATTTCTTTGTCACTTTTAGAGTCCAAGGCTTATTTTCGTGGACACAAGGTGACATAACCAATCCTCAACCATCCTCTTTCAGTTTCAAGGCAATTATCGAGAATCCTAAAATGAGGGTAAGATTGTGATGTTAACAAAATTTGACACACAGGCTTTGTATACAGATTACCATTCTTTGTGTGTGAATAACTTGATGGGTTTAAAGTTACAAGAGGATTTTTGCACTCAATAGGGGCAAGTTGGCAGTATGTATTGCATTAAAATAGAAGTTAGTGAAACAGGCATGAAACTATCTCTTTGGTATTATTACAGAAAAAGTGGAGTGGGTGGGGAGGAGGGAAGAGGGAAGAGGAGGGTACCGTCTGGAGTTCCAAGTTATTTTTGGGAAGCCAGTAATATATATTGTGTAAGTAAATTTTTGATTTGTTAATTTCTCTACCAAGCCCTTGAAATATGGAGTAAGACTGTAATTGAGAAGTACTGTAGATCCAGTTAAATGCAATTTAACGGAGTTAACAACAAAGGGCATCAGTATTCTTTAGTGGTCAGCAATTTTTTGCATATGCACATGCACTGGAATTCCATGTGCTCTTCATTTGAGGCATTCTTGCGTGTACTTTGAGTGTCTTTGCAGCATTGTGAGGCAGTTTTCCCCACCCCTTCCCTCCCACTTTCCACTGTTTATTCAGTGTGGCCAGTATCTGTTTCCCTTTCTTGTGTGGGGGCTCATGGCTGGGTTGCCAGGATTTGCCAGCAATGGGAGAAGTCTCCATCTAGGAGCTGGCTGCCAATATAGAGGAAGCTCCTGGATGTTTCAGGCACCCAACCTCCACCTAGCAATGCAGTTGTTAATTGAGTATTATCCAACATGAATTTAGAGTGGAGCAGGACTTAGATACTATTGATGGATCATTACTGTGATTTGTGTTGTTTCCAGAAAACAATAGTGGCTGTATTAGACCAGATGGTTGATCCTCATTGGCCATATCTTCCAAAACGTCAAGAAAACTATGAAACTGAAGAAGAGAGAGAGGCAATTGAGGGAGTCTGGAATACAATCTCTGGTGATCCATTAAACTATCATTTTTATTATCATATTTTGGATGGAGATGAGGGAGGACGGCCCCCAAAGATTATGGCCTCAGATGGACACAAGGAGATGGAAAACAAATATTTTAACTTGAATGACAAGTCTTGTTTACATGCCATTGCAAAGAGCAACAACAAAGTAAGATTCAGACCTAAAGACGATCAAGCTTTTAAGAAATTCATCAGTGAAATATGTAATATTGTCTAGATCTGTTTTTAAAAAGGTATCTTGAAAGAGTAAACACATTTCATTTATGACTAATAATTATTACTGCAGGAGTTTGATTTTTATATCACTTTCATCCTAAGGTTTGGGCAAAATTAAATCAGTTCTTGATGTCCATTTTTAGGAAGCTTTGCAACATCCTGTTGTCAGAATGTTGATTAAAACAAAATGGAAAAGTTATGGACACTTTTTCCTCAGGTAAATCAGTTATATTTGCAGGCTCCATACTGTTAATTTTAGAGATAGCTGTATCATATTTATCAATTAAGGCATGTAGGTGTTGAATTAGGTATTGATGAATTCTTAAGTGTATCTTGGTACAGAGTCAAATTTCAATGAGTTTATTTTTGCCAACACACATGATTGAGAGCCAGTGAAAGAACTTCTATGCAGAGTGATTCAGTCTTAATTAATATAGTATCCCCTAGAATACTAGCTGTGAATGCATAATACTGTCCAAATTTCAAAGCCTTTGATATCTCAAAGGTTTATTGAAAAAAATGAGACAGGTTACCAAGAACTTTAAGTTTTATATCTTCATTTGAAGTTTTAATATTGTGTCCTTTCTCCATTGTAATTTTGCAGAGGTAATTATAATTACTATTTCTTTTCTTTAGCCTCCAAGTGGCATTGTTTTGCATCTTTTTGCTGTGTATGTCATATTCTCTGCTGCATGCCTCTACCAAACTGGACCCCACCCATTACAGTGGTGCACTGGACTCACTGCGTGGATTTTGTGAGGTTGTCACTCTACTCATGGTCGTGTTTTACATCTGTGAGGAAGTCAATCAGATAAGAATGTAAGTAATTATGGTGATCAAGGATTGCTGGAAATTTCATCAAGACCTTCCATTTGACCCCATATCGCAATTTAAATGACTCCACATTTGAAGAGGAGTATGGTAATGTGAAATTATTTGATTTCTTGCAGAGAGGGGCGTTGTTATTTCACAGAGTGGATGACCTTGTTTGACTGGTTAGGCCTACTGTTGATATTGTGTATAGTACCGTTACGATACATGGATCATAAAGCACAGTGGATGGTGACATCTTTAGCCTTCTTGTTCAACTTCCTGAGGATATTTAAATTTTCATGTGTGTCAAGGTAACCTACAACTCCCAATTAATTACTTGAGTTCGGAAAGAGCACTGATGAATTAAAAATCATCCCTTCGTCAATCTAACCTAACGTTACATTAAATCTTTCTTAGGACTACAGGATTATACACACAAACCTTGGCCAAGATCATTTTACATGATGTAACAAGATCCATGGCAGTTTTTATTGTGATCTTTTTCTCCTTCTGTGGTGCTTTGACTTTATCCCTCTGTTACTCCGGATCCAGTGAAAACCAAGAACTTCGGTACATCTCTTTTTACTCAATCTCCTTAACAAAGCTATAAGGTTGTTTTGGAAAAAACAACTCGGGGTATCGTTTGTTACAAGTCAATAAAATATTCGATAATTTCCATTGTAAATTGATTAATTTGATCTGCTCTTTACTGGCTAGATTTTGTATTTATTCAAACTATTCTCAT